GTGTGTGTGTGTGCGCGCGCAGAGTCAGCTCAACATTGCTAAAGTACCCTTCCCCAAATTAGGGGACAAGGGAGGACCCTTGTTCCTAATTGTCCAATCAGCAGAAGAGGCTCTCCAATCACAGTTAGATCATTTACTTGTTCAGGATGTCACCTTCACTGTCCTACAGGTCAGAATCACCCAGAAGACTCTGCTGGACCTGAACTGACCGCCAGGGTGCCGTTTTTAAGACTTCTGCAGGATCTGACTCCATTTATGATGTCTTAAATGTTTGGTTTTTACCAAGGTAAACCTTATTTCTATCAACTCGGTGTTTAATTTTAAATAATTTTCCCCCTGGGATTATTAAAGTATTTCTGATTCTGATTCTGATTCTGAAATTTGAACATTCAACCATGGTAGATATGATTGTTTAATTTTGATATGCTTTATATCAGGCATTCAGCTTAGAGTGAAGGATTGGTTTTATTGTCTTCCTCTGTCAACAGGAAGTATTAGCTGCTCGGGTTACAGGTGACCTTTTTGTTGGGTACATTTTACACTTTTGGTAAATACAATACAATTTTGCACCAATCCTAAAAATGATATGCTACATTCAAGCATCTTGTTTTTTTTATCTAACAAAATAAGCCAAACTTTTCAGTTGTTGTTGTTGATGTGATGGAGATAGTTCAGCTGTCATCATTGGAAAAATTATGATTTAAATTTAAATATCTGATCACGAGACAAGAAATCGGACTATAAGACAATAAATCTGACCATTTATGCCAGCTCTCAATACTCCAGGTTTTGATAAGCTACTCTGTGCCACTATTTACAAGTGCAATAAAATGTAATATGTAGACTGATTTGTGATGGTGCAATCATTATCTTGGACTGTCCCCTTTACTGTACACAGTCCTCTCAGCTTGACACTGTGTAAAACTCCTTGCTCCCAGTTATCAGATATAATATTGTGTCTATCACTGTGTTAAGTTGAACTCCTACACGTGGTATAATCATGTATCCTGGAACTTCATATGAGAAACCAGTCAATTCTGTAAATTACCCATGGTTTAACTTTGAACTTCGCCTCCATATGAGTCCTTGCCTTTATGGCACTAGGGATATTTATATAGCATCATACACTGTGTTTTGTCAATGCCTACATCTGTTTGCTGTGAAATTAAGACCAAACCAAAAGACAGCATTTCTGAACATCTGTGAAATTTAATTGGGTTTTCAAGAATGCATAATTACAGCACATCTGTAGAAAAAAAGGCCTGCCACACCACACAGTTTACAGTTCATGTTTTTTAGAATGCAAAACCAGATTGGTGGGCAGCAGTCACGACAGGTCTACAGAGGACTCTACTGAGTGCATACAGTTGTCACTACAATACAGCATGTTCTTAATGGAGACCACATGACTTCAATCAAGTCAAACCTCAACCTGAAACATTAACTGAATGTCATTTACACCCTGAGAAGTTTTCTATTAGCAAAATGTACAGTGTTGAACCTTTTCTTCTGCTGTCAAAGGATGTTGTGTCTAGGGGATTTAATCCTGAGTGCGATTTTATTGCATAAAAAGAACATGAGATCAGGAATATTGTAAAAACAGGTTACCTAGCGAGTGAGAGCAAAATAAAAAACAGCTGTGGGTTAGTGGCTACAAAGAGTGACAGGTTATGAACAAAGGGCTTGCATTTCAAGCATGCTGACTTCAGAAAATTAGAGGGGCGATTTGAGGGTAGATCTGAAACTTTTACAGGATTCAAAGGCTTTTCTGGGGAGAACAGAGGAGCTACGTGTACAGTATGTAGCATTAAACCGAACACACATAAACAAATAACTCTGATTTACATGTAGATGCACACATTATGCAGTTTATATGTATATGTTTGTATAAATGTATTTCACCCTTCCTTTATCCATCAACATTTTCCAGATGTTGATGAATATGTTCAGATAGGTAACATTTACAGCACAATTCAAATACTGTCAGCTAACCCAGTTAATAACAGAAAGCTGTGCTACATTTGAAGCAAGTGTTTTGCAGTCTAATTCAGTGGATCTTAAGAGTCCAATCAGTTTTATTATAGCTCTTTAGTCAATAACACAACTGACTGAATGGAAACTAAAGGTCACACACTAATTGGCCTGAACAGAAAACATCATCCTGAAGTGGCAGCTCTTAAGCACCAGAAATCTATTATCTATAAACTATTGACTGCAGTACAAGACATGTAATAGGACTCTCAGATAAGCTTTTCAGTGTTTTGTTTTAAGTGTGCGAACATATGCACTGCAGTGTCATCAGAGGTTTTTAGACTTAACATTACAAGCATGTATTATCAGTTAGTGACAGTTGTTTTAGTTTAAAACCAAGAGACAGTCTGACTCAGTCAAACAGGATTTACAAGTAATCTTGTGGTTTGATTTGGTTAATGTTGGTGCCAAGTGGGAGATGTGTGCAACATCTAAAAAGGCTACAGCCACTCATGAGGCCAAACTAAATGCTGACAATCATCATAAGTTCACAAAGACAATGTTAGCATGCTGATGTTTAGCAGGTATAATGTTTACCATGTTGACCATCTTAGTTTAGCATGTAGCTATGATTTGCTAATTACAAAGACATTGAAAGTACATCTGAAGCTGATGAAAATATACATTTTCAAGTAGACCTAGTTGGTCATAAACTAAAGTGTTGGAAAAATTCCAGTTATTGAGGGGACACGAATGTCTGAACCAAGTTTTATGGTAATCCATCCAATTGTTCAAAACATTTCAATCAAAACCACAAATGGTGGCGCTAGTGAAAAAGTCAGTCGATCACTAAAGTGTTTGGGGTTCTGGGGACCATGAATGTCTGCAAAATGTGGTATGGTATGTTGACAAATTCATCAGATAAGTGACCTCCTGGTAGTGCTAGATAAAAGGTGAAGGGAAAATTACAATGATTAGTATGTGGATCATGAATGTGTGTACAAAATTTCATGGCAATCCAATCAGTACTTATTAAGATATTTCACCAATCGATAACACTGCCACAAGCCTCACAGCTAGCATGGCTAAATATGGATTAAAAATTCATTAAATTGTAATATTAAGTTACATTCTGTTTATTAATGTTATTACTTTATTTTTTTACAATATTATTTTTTTAATAAAAATATTATTAAGATAATCATATTCAGCCTGATGTTCATAGAGGTTCCTACTAACTATGTAGTAAGAGCAATACTCTGAAATTAACCTCCATGTAGCTTTTGTTGCTGTATCATCATTATTTCATCAGGAACAAAGAGACATATTTGACATGTTTGACATAAAATACATGAAACCCCAAAAGCTGTTATTTAAAGCTAGTTAGTTGACTTGATTTATGATTTTAAAAAGTCATGCCACACTAGACTATGACCCTGAATAGTCTCAGTTCAGAAAACAAATACCATCCCTGGAGCTGTAAACCTTTCTCACCACTCTCACATGTGGCATTCCTACACTCCCAGAACAAAAACAAAACAGCTTTACTGATGTCATGTGCTTTACAGCAGGAGTGGTATAGATTCTGTACAGCAGGTTGAAGAAGAGTCATTTGAACCCTGTCAATGATTTAGCAATGGTGTCATCAGAGCAGCCTGGTGGTAGCGGGGGTAGGTGCGGCAGTGTATGGTATGGCCAGTCTATTCAGTCATATCCTTTTTGGTCCAGCGTGTCGCAATCATTTTACAACCCCTGCACTGGCAGGTGAATAGCTGTTTCGTCCTAGCGACTGCAGCTATGCAATGAGTTTAAACGGATGTGTTAAAATGCTACAGGGAGAACAAGTTTGCCTTCATGAAGTGCTGCAAGCGAGGCATTATCCGTTTGTTGGGGTGAACTGATAAAAGATGAATGATGGGACAAGAAAGGAGCGACTCTTATCTATTCCCAAGAACTACATCTACAACAGAAAACAACGTGTTAAATAGTGGTTGAAGTTTCCATTGCAATCACTTCACCTCTTCTTGAAAGCATCTTACAGGATGTACAAGTAGATAAATATAGTACAGCAGTTTATAGCATTTAGTTTAAAAATAGAACACGATCTCTGTCCTACCCAAACCTACAGTTTTATAGTACCTGACTACACAATTTACATTTCTTAACTAGATCATCCATTACAGTATTAATTCCTCTAAAGCTACACAGGAAATAAACCTACAGGATAATTCAATGTACACACATTTATATTAGGGAGAAAGTAAAGTCACCCGTTGCATGATTTTAACCTTTTTGGAGGTAAAAGTAGAAATGTGACGCTGTGTAATTTATACTGGAATCTTTCTTCAGCCATTGGAAAACCATGTTATCCAAGTTTAATAGACCCACAGGAATGTTATGAGCAAGACAAAAAGAACAGGATGAAACAACAGGAATCTCCCATTACACTCGAATGGGAGTTATGTGGCCAAAAACTGTCAAATCCTGAAAAACATGAAAAAGCACATCTTTGAATCCATTTGGTGAATTAGTAGTGCAACAAAGTCTCTTCTTAACTCCATCTCACTGCAACTCCAGCTCTATACTGGAGCAGCTAGCCTGCACTCTCTCTTCAATAAAGTACTTTTAATCTGAGGACCACAACGACCCCCTGAGACCAACTACAAGCAATGGTGTAGTTTCTCTTTCAGGTCAACGCCAAGTCAGGTTATGTCCGTTCAGAGCTGCACAGAAGTTCAGGTTAATTCTCATCAAGTTCCATTTTCAGGTCTTCAGTATGTCTTTATCGTCATTTTTTGTCTCCTCTGAGGGAGGCTGACTGGTACCCGTGTCCTGAGCAGAGCTGAGTGGCCTGGCGTTGGCCTTCGTCGACCGTTGCCGCCGCGTGCCGTTGCCGATGCAGCGCAGGAGGTTCTTGAATGTTGTCCACATTTCCTCGTCCTTGTAGGAGTAGATACAAGGGTTCATGACGGAGTTCAGTACAGCCAGGAGCAGCAGCCAACGTTTTGATTTCATGACATTACAACTCTCACAGTTGAGGCCATCCATCAACAGAACCACCAGGCCGGGAGTCCAGCAAATCACAAAGGCTCCTGCAGGAAAAAACACAGCAAATCACACAGTTAGGTTGTAGTAACACTTATTTCTCAAATGTCTTTTTGTGCAGGTAACACTTTTCTCAAAAGGTCAAGTTCCAATTTACAAAACGAGTATTCAAAATAGTTTTTTGTACAATGACTTTCTGGCGTCACCACGAGGTTTCTAGGAAGTGGCTTTGTCTTGCCCAGAAATAGTCCAGCAAATATACCCTCATGAAATGTGTCGTTTTTACACAACAGTGATATTTAGAATTGTTACCTTTAAACAAAGCCAGGTCAGCTGTTACTTCGTCTTCATGCTAAGCTAGGCCAACTAGTGATGGTAGATTCATATCTTTCGTACAGACATTACAGTGGAATTAGTCTTCTTGTCTAACGCTAACAGTAAATATATCAAACTTTCATTCAAACACTATTAATGTTAATGAATTTGAATAATGTGATTAATAATCCCTGACAAATCTGTAATGAAGCAATGTCTTAAAAATGATTTGGGGTTGTCAGGTCGACCGTTCACATTTTTGGCCACTGACTTAAAAAGACCAGTGTGTACGGATTTATGTGGCATCCTAGTGGGCTTGAACGTTTCCAGCATCTGCAGGACCACACTGAACCACTTCCACGCATGCTAATGAAGGCTTACGGTCAGGATGTGAAAAACTGAAAACATGGCGGACTCCATAAAAGATTTAGATAAAAACAGACACGACAACACACTGCACTCTTACATTGGTAATGAAATGTAACTGCCAGGTAGAAACCATTATCCACTGTGAGCCGTTTAGCTGAATGTGGAGATAATATGCATTACTTAAGGGCAAATTAATAATTAATCATTATTTTCATTAGCGATAAATCAGTCTTCAATCGTCTTGTTTTTTCTAAGCAACAGCCCAAAATCTAACATGCAGCAAATCGATTGTTTTCCATGATATACAATTTATTAACATTTCTGTTGATTGACTAATTGAGGAATTCCTTCAGCATTAGTTCTACAGTGAGTAAATGACGTTCACAATTTTCTGAGCTGCCAACAGATTTCCTCCTCTTTTCTACAGGCTATATAAACTAAACAAACTAAATTACAGAGAGTATAAGATGATTATTCATGTTAGAATGCACTGCGTTTTAGCAGAGTAATACCATTCTAATGCCAATAAAACAAGCAGACACAGGTTGGCAACACAATGCCATTCTTATGTAAAATACTTAATGCTGTGCGTTCGGTAAATAATGTGGTCAGTCACGGGGCCACTGAAGCAGCCATTTACCCATCTATTTCAAACATGTTTGAGCACAAAACTGAGCTACAAAGAGATTTCTGGAACTGAAAGGAAGCAACAAGCAGCAACTTGTCTTCCAGCAGTGGTGTTGACACTACCAGCATCTCCATGACATTTGTAAGTACTGTTCTATACAGCTCTCTCTCTCTCTCTCCTCTTCTCTCCGTCTCCCTCTGCGTCTCAGGCACACACACACTAGCACACCACAGCACACACACGACAACACCAAAAGCATGGATACATGTGCGCACAGACAGAGAGGGTCTGCTAGAAGGGTTGATCTCAGTTTTTATGTTGTTCACTGCTCTTGTCTGAAAGTCAAAAAGGTTTGCCACATTTTTACAGTGAATTTCTATTTTTATGTTTTTCTCCTTCGTCTTTGATGGTCCACATGTTCAAAATAAACTGAATTGAAATTGAGTGAGAGCCCATTTAATGGTCTTCCATTGGCAGACTGAAGTTTAAAAGTGGACTTTCCTCCCCTTTATTCCCTGACAAAGAAAAAAAACAAGAGTTTTGGGGACACACATTTCAAGCATATGTTCCTTTTTTCAGTCGGTATTCATTTGACGATCATTTGACAAAATCGGATGTTGGATGCTTCACTTAACACAGGCCTCAACGCCCTCAGATATACAACAAATAAATGACTATGGGCCATTAAACTACAGTAAAGATATACTCTACAAAACTAGAGCCAAGAAGACTATACAAATGTACAAATGTAAGCAAGAGAACACACAAGAAGTAATTCCCTCTACTTATTTTTTAGACATGAACATAACTAAATAACGTATTAAATTCACACATACATTACACACCGTAAGTGTTTGTTTGCAAGCACAGGCAACCACCATCCCACAGTATCCCCATCTAACCTTCATTTATTTAAATCTGGTTATAACAAAGCACGCGTGGGTTAAATGTCTATGTTTAACTGGTTTGTCCAGTTGAGTTTTCCGCCTCAACAGGCTGTTTTAAATCTGGAACAAGGGTTAACTTTTTTTTCCGTTTTATATATATCCCATGATGGTCCTGGTCCTGTGTGTCTTCAGATTTCCTTCCTTTTCTTTCAGCCATCGCTGCCATGATATTTACAGTCACAGCAATCTCAATAGGGAATTTTGCAACTTATGTACTCCACAATCTCAAGGGAACTCTGCAACGCATGTGAAAGCAATTGACAAAGTCCTCAAGTATAGGTTCTTCTTCCTTTTTTTTTTTTGGATGGGTGGGGAGAAGGGGACGTTCATTGAAGGCCAGTGTGGTGTGGTGTGTATGGTGCACCACACAGGCTGAGGAGCAGTGTCCTTGCAGGGAGAGATAATTACACAGCAGTCAGGAATAAAGTGTGCACAGAGGCAGACAGCTCCTACGCTACATAGTGTATAAACCCATCTGGCTGGGAAATAAAAATTCCCAAAGAACAATGACAGACCTTTATCTTGCAGGGCAACCATGTGTGTCACTACAACCATTTCATGCATGTTTTTAATAGGATGATTGTATGAGCGGATTCAACTGTAACTGCTATCTGAACTGTATCAGACTCACCAGAATTTCCTGGTATGGCAACTTACTATGTATTTGCATTGCGTGTTATATTTGCCCTATATTGGTGCTCCAGTAGAACATGCTGGTGGAGTCCTATTGTTCCATTTTTAAAGGAAAGCGTTGGGAGGGGAGTGACTCAAGTACAATGCATCTATTGCAAAGTATCCTGTTGCAACACCTAAACAAAGAGAGCCAGACTGGGATATCTGACTGCCTCATCTAGGATGAAAATGCAGGGACGAGAAGGAAACGTCAGCAGGACGCACTTGGAAAAGAATAGAGCTTTTTCATAGCAGGCATTTGGACATGAAATAGTAGGGTCAACACAGGTGTTACCAATGATACTAACTACAGTTCAGTTTTATTCAGGTTAAAACAAAGTCAGGGTGCTGCTACTGTGCATGTTGGCTCACTGGAGAGGCTCTGCTACACTAAATGGAACGGAACCTTAATTAGTATCATTGGTAACACCTGTGTTTATCCTCGTATTTCATGTCAAAATGGCTGCTGTGAAAAAGGTCTATAGAGTAGTGCTGCAACAGTGATTCCATCCAAAAATTAGACAGTAAATGATTTGCCTACAACTTATTAACTGCTTCAGGAATTTATACCACAAACATAACAGAGGGTCTCTGGTTTCAGCTTCTCAAAAGTGATTCCTGTTTGGATCAGTTTGACAGAATGAGATATTTGAGACGTCTCTTTGGGCTCTGTATTTTCACATTTCATAGACTGAATAATTGATCTATAAAGCAAATAATTAAACAACAAGATAAGTGATAATGGACAAAAGCCTAAGTCACTGGGCAGAAACTCTGAATAATTAGACTTTAAAGTGACAACACGAGCTACAGAGAAATAAAATCATAATTTTTGCTGAATCCACTTTTGCTTTTATTTAACACTCCGTCATATCACTGACTGATGTGTTCGTGTTATTATGCTCAAGGTTCATCTAGGGAAAACTTAGATTATAATCCAGCGTGTTCAGCAGTGACTCAGTGAATTTCCTGGACTTTGTGACCTCTTTAAAACCCGACAGAAGACATGCTCTACATCATAACCACTTACACAAGACTAATGCAGGGAATGTTCTGACTCACTGTTGAGTCGTCAATGACGCCGCACAGACATTACTTTTATGATAAGCACCTACCGAGCACAACCATGACCGTCTTGATGAGCTTGATGGGTGTCCTCTTTCGGTTGATGGAGCCGCTGGTGTGTGGCATGAGCATTGACGTCTTCTTCTTGACGTAGGCGTAGATCCTCATGTAGATGGCCACCATCACCAGGAACACCACCAGGTTGGACGCAGACCAGAAGATCAGGTAGCTCCTGCTGAAGATGGGAGCCAGCTTGGAGCAGTCACTCAGGTTGCAGATACAGTTCCAGCCCAGACTGGGCACAGCCCCCATGAAGATGGAAATGGCCCACACCAGCACGATCAGCAGGGTCACCCTCCTCTTTGTCAGGTTGCTGTGGACTTTCCAGTTCATGACAGAGATGTAGCGCTCCAGAGCTATTACCAGCAGGTTAGCCAGCGAGGCTGAGAGACTTATGTCCAGAAGACCCTGACGGATGAAGTATTCTCTAACTGTAAGTTTCCGTGACACCTCACCCGTGTTAAACATGAGGTACACGTACGCTATGCCGGCCAGGAAGTCCGAGGCGGCGAGGTTGGCAAGAAGATAGTAGAAAGGGTAATGAAACCTCTTGTTGGTGATGACAGCAGCTATGACCATGGCGTTGGAGACCAGAATGAAACAGCAGAATAAAGAGCCGACCACCTGCACCACGATGAGCTGGGTCTTGTCCCATTTATCATCAGCACCTTTGTTGCTGTAGAAGAAACCCATGGACTCATTATAATGACAGCTGAGGTTCTGCAGGGCCATTTTAGAAGCGAGTCTGGGAAATGAGAATGAGAACACATCAGAAGTGAAACCATTTATGGATTATTTATCAATCGAAGATGCTGAAACAATTTAATGGGTCAGAATGAAATCAATTATTTATCAGGCAAAATTGCCAAACCTGCTCTAGTTCCTGCTTCTTAAATGAGGATTTGCTGCTTTTCCTTGTCTTATGTGATGTAAAATGTGAAGTGATGAAGAATGACAATGAAGAATATTAAAGAATATACAATGCCAGGTAAGTTTAATTACCCAGAATAAATAATTAAAATCAGCAAATCTTCACATAGAAGCTGGAACAATTCAATGTTTTTACATGAAAAATGACTTAAACCATTATCAGAATAGTTCAATCAATTCATAATTTCTGTAATTGTATACACTGTTGTGTAGTTTAAACAAATCATCATGTTATATAACATTTCTTTATGTTCTTAATGTGAAAAAATCTTAATTTGTAAAGTAACTGTAGTAACTGAAGCTGTCAGATAATTGCAGTGGAAGTATAAGTAGAAAGTAACATGAGAAGAAAAGTAAAAACTACCTCAAATGTGCACATGCCAAAAGCTAGAGGGAAAATCTGCTTTGAATACAATGAATACAAGTGAAATCGCATTAAGCTCCATTAAGATAGTGTCCATAGTAACAACAAAACGAGAGCCAAAACAGTCTATACAGTAATTCTACCTGTACAAACATTCCTGTGGGCTAACACTAACAGATATGCTGCAGAACGAGATTTCAGTGTAATGCAAACTAAAGTACAGTTTTACCTCGTTTATTATGCAATTAACCTCGCTACACCCTGCCCGACCTGACTTATCAACAACAGCAAGGAAATGATGAAGAGGAGGGCGGCTGACATAGAGAACGACATAAAGTATAAAAAATAAATACATCAAATAAAAAATAAAGTTGCCGAAAAGAAGCCAAAACATAACCCCCCAAAACACAAAGAGTTACCTTGAGGAGCAGTGAGTCAGGTGAGTTTACCTGCAGTGAGTTTACCTGCAGTGAGTTTACCTGTGCTGAAGGGCTGCCCGTGGTGCGTCAGTAGACTACAAGTTGCGAAATATTCCGTGCCGAGCTAATGAACATGTTTCCCCCCGCAGCGAGAGGACGGAGAGAGAGAGTGAGAGAGGACGAAGAGAGTGAAGCCTGAAAAAGTTGAACGTCTTCACTTTGAGGCTGGGTGACGTAGAGGGCGGGTTTGGCTAAGGCTGAATTCCTCCGGTTCACCGCATGAGGCACAAAATACTCGGAGTGAAGCTGGGGGGGTGGGGGGGGAACCCCACCGGTGTGTTTCATCCGTTTCTGTAGTGTTGTAGTATTTCATTTATTTCTAATTTGATTCATATTTTATTTAAAGCATTTCTTAATTCACCTCTGTATATACTGTCACTTTTTTTTTTTTTCCTGAAGTGGCTTCATTTTTTAAATAAAATAACTTCACTTCCTCAAAGCAAGATACTAAAAATGTTGCTTAACATCATTTTCGATTTGTCTAAAGGTCACTAGTCTGGCACCTGTAACCTCAAGAGCTAATGCTTCCCTGTCGAGGAATAAAACCCATCCTACTGCAAACTCAGTGCCTAATATCAGTGGTATCTAGGTACTTTTACTCAAGTAATGCACAACTGTGATTGGAGTTATTTCATAGCCTAACTTTATATTTATACTCCACTACATTTCAAGGGATAATATTGTACTTTTTACTCCACTACATTTATTTTAAAGCTGGATTTACTAGTTACTTTTCAGATTATGTTTTACATAAAAAAAACCTGTGTGACTCAGCTACACGTACAATCCTACTTGGTATTAATAATAAAAATATAATCTATAATATCTCAGTCACATGGGCTGTTTTTTTCTGTATAATGACTACTTTCACTTTTGATACTTTAAATTTTCCTGTTAATTGATTGGTACTTTTACAGTAAAATTATGAGTCACTGAAGAAAGTAATTACCTCTTATGGGGTACCAGGGCAAATAATTGTGTGGCCCCTATACTGACCCCATACACCCACACACACTCTGTTCAATGTGTTTGTCTCCTCCATGATCCCATTAAATACAAGGCACACAGTAGTGGCAGCTTCATTATTTGCCCAGAGACACTGAAACCCAACCAGTATTCCTGTTTTCTGTGGCTTGAATTAGTTTGAGGTAGTTTGGGGCCCCGGGAAAAGCTGTTTTCCAGCTTTGAACATGTTATATCAATTCACAACTGCTCATATGAAATATATGAAAGTCATCGCTGTGTTCAGTGCAGTATGAACAAATCTGCGTGATTTGTTTGAAGCAGCACACACGCATATTGACATTTGTTATTAGCTGGTGTTGCTAGTAACAGTGACATCTGTTGACCTAAACTAAACAGTGTAGTCAGTGTAAAGGAAATCCTTACAGTAAATATCCTGTTCTTGTGTTTTTAAAAGAGGATTTGATTTGCTCTGGTGTCAGTTTTGACTTGAACTCACGTCTCTGTTTCAAAATATCACGAATATGAGGACAATGATGTGATGTCTCATTAGGTTTCATATACCCACCTCTGCCACAGGCATTTTGTCACATCCACACTAAAATGAGTCAAGAGAAGTTTTGGATAACATTAAAGTGAAGCAGACCCGTTGAATCACAGAGGTTTCGCGCTGGATAACTCTTTGTATTTGATCCAGGGTGTTGTTAGGGTTAAAAAAAAGAAGTTCTTTGATTTTATGAAGTTAAAAGCACTAGTAGTCACACTCCAAGAGAGTAGTCGTGCTCCAGCTTGTCTCATCATCTAAACTTGCTTGCAGAATACATGATAAAATGACTCATACTGTAATTCTCAGAGTCATTACAAACCGCTGCAACCCTTCTTACTCAATCTCAATCTGGCTCTGAATGTTATGAAGTGCTCCAAAGTTTTCCATCAACTGCATTTTTTTTAAGCACAGAAGAAATCTGATGTACCATAATTGCATTAACATTTGAGTTTTCACTGCTGCAGATATAATATTATAATATTAATCATGTAAATAAAATAAATAAAGAAACATTATCTGACAATAGACAAATGGAAAAAAAAATAGCATTACTGCACTCTTTACTAGACACTTGACAAATAAATTACATCTAGCACTGCATCACATTGCACCAGCGTTTGCAGCAACAGTCATACACAAAAACACTAAATCCAGTTCTTTGGCAACTAAATGCATGTGGAGACCATAAATAGGCCCTGTAAACATATCAACAGTATCCTGAACTCCAGTAGATATCATTATGAAACTTTTTTTTTTTTGTTTCCAGGCACAACTCATAAACTAACGCTCCAGTTTCATGTTCAAGAGAGGAACCCCTCAGCAAACTCTTCGCCCGGAACTCTACACTGTTGAAGATTTTGTAGTGCATCGCTTGATCTCGAAGTTTGTATCAGACGTGTGAAGTCCTGTTCCCAACATCCTCCTCCTCCTCCTCCTCCTCTCCCTGCCTGAACTGGTGGGACAGCTGTCAGCTGATCAGAATGACATCATCATTTTCAGGAACTCTGCAACAACACGATTTAAGAAGAAGCATGAGACAACCCAATGTCTCATCACCACCACCAAACAGAGAAAAACATACATTTGCAAACATTGCTTACGCACAGATCCCCATTGGTGGCAGCTCTGTCATCCACAAAGCATTTAATGTGTTCTACAGGGCTCTTGCATGCGCGGGTCATTAGTATGGCATTTGTTTTGATTAATGAAACTAAATTAAAAGATCTTATGTTGCAGATTTGATGAAACAGGTCTCTGCCTCATTAGGGCTGTGTGGGTGTGGTTTGATAAGATTGGAGTGTGTTCACATGATAACACAACTGTCCCCAGATTTCAATGCAAAACTTAATTCTCGTAAAGTATGTGACATCAGCCTGGTTCAGTGTGAAACTATTATTCCAGACTCTGAGGCTGCTTGTTCAGACCAGCGAGGTTTTCTAATCTCTAAACTCTTATTAAACCTCTGTTGTTGCAATAATCCCCTACACAGTCACAGTCCGCTAATAGTCAATTCCTACAATTCAAACCAGCACAAGCATGCCTCTTTATTTTCTGAGCCTTCACCTGCATGGAGGGTTTGGCCCTGACACAAAGAGACACAACAAAAGGGATGCAGGAAGAGGTCTGGATTTCTGGTGAATGTGCGCACCCTGTCTGAGAATAAAACCCCCAAACAAGCACTTTGAAAATGATAGCCTTGTCACCAACCCTGCGCCTTGAACATTTTCTTGTGTTTGGCTGTTTGCTCTCAAGAGAAACAGCTAATTATGTTCCTGTTACATCAAATCTGTAAACAATTACGCATTTTTCCTTCATCTTTATGATCTGCCATAAGCAGCACATTTTTACTGCTGGCTTGAGTTTGCATGTCAATTCTCAGACTCTCAGTTTCACAAACTGCTGCAGCTGTTTGAGGATGTGAATTTATTTCACAGTTGTGTCCAATCATTCTCTTGGAAAGCAAAATTGCCTCATCCTTTATGTTTTACTGTATTTATAGATTGCTTCTATACACAGTTTAGCACTCCCTTTGTCATATCTGTTTCAAGCATAAACTCCACTCTTTGGCTATGCAGCTTTATTATACTGTGTAATCACATGCAATTTACTGTATGAATCACAGCACATGCATTCAAGTCTTAAGAGATTTATCGGGTTATTTATCGGTCATTGTGGGTATTCTGAATACCTATTTGAGGGACTGTTACAACCTTTTCCATACTTAGTCATTCAACGTTCCATTCACGAGACTCTTGAGCCATAATAAATTTTTTCAGCCAACTTAAATCCAAACGAAAGGATTCTCTCGCTCTTAAACTTGCTTTTGAAAACAAGATAACTGACTGCAGCAGTAAAAGATAACAGCAGGAAGAGGTTAATTGTATGCAGATGAAATTTCATCCAGCAAGACATTAACATGTTTGCTGAGAACGCTGATCAAATTTTTGTG